ATGAGCACTATTGCAGCTTCGTTAAATCATCTCCAAATTTACAATATTTTCAACAAGCTTTATGGAGATGCTAGACTCTGCATCTCCCCACATCACCAAAACTACTACTGAAAGGTTATGCATGATATTAGTTCTGTATAACTACGCTTGTTTGGCCAGACATCAGGCCTGACTCGGGCCCTGCAGAGCATCTATGGGATATTTGTCAAAAGCGTAGCTACCAATAAAAGTGTGATTGATGGTAAAAAGTCTGTGTTTAATGGCCATTTAATGGTAATTATGTAATGTTCACCTGGTGTTACCTGTGAGAATGCCGTACAGATTGCTTTATCTGTTTATTTGTCCTTCTTTAATGTTATTTCTTCTCTGCGTATATTTCCTGACTCGACATACTGGATATACTGTGGGTGAAACTGGCTTAGATTCAATCTTATGAATAAATTTGACATTTGTGTAAAAAGTTGAGGACTGTCTTGGTAATGAATGAATGTCAGCCTGTCTCTCTACTTGTCTCCCCTGCTTTCCTCAGTTTGTGTACTCTGTAACCTTTCAGTTCATTAGTAGTATTTATCATAGCTGGATTCTGCAATCAGTCTATCTACACACCAGCACTTGCCAAGCAACACACCGACAGACAAGTCGAGGCTTGAGAGAGGAGAGAGTAAGCAAGGAAGACGAGAGGCCTAAACATAATGACACATCTGTCTTAGTGACATGGATACATCGTGGTCTACTTCTGATTATCTTATTGCTTCCAAGGGACCCGTGACGCTCGCCATTATCTGGACAAAACGCTGGTCCTCTCTTAATTCTTATACCTGCAGATCTTCAGGTCTATCTGTGCAAAAACTTTGCGAGTCATTGCATCTGACAGGCAACAAATTATGAGTTATTTGCTGAAACATTCCACCCACCTTCCACACATCCTCCTGTTACAGTGCTGAGTTTGTTTGGAGACGTTCTGCAGGAGTGCAAGAGTGTAATGTTATACGATGATATGACCAACGGCTCACCTCAGTGAATTTTTTAGTAAATGCTAAAGAGTTTACTGAGTAAATACCCGACTACTACTTACCTTAAAATGTTGAGGCATTTTTGTCAAAGCTGGTCTTTTTCCTACCAACAGGTGTCAAACAAACATAAGATACAAAAACAGATGAAACCATGCACTGTACTTTGTATCGTTGTTAGGTTTTGATCTGTATCTGTTCATGATTATTGGATCACCATTAATCCAAGACTTATGTAACATGTGGACACAGTCTTGCTGATGTTACCTGTTGGTTTCTGAGGAGGTATCATAAAGCGTGATGATGGTGGCCGTTTTATTGGAGTGATCTTTTTTAGAGCTGCAGGGTGGTGCAGTGATCAGCTCTGATGCCTCACGGCCAGAATCCCCCGGCAGGACCTTACTGTGTGGAGTACGCGTACTCTCCTGGTGTAGATGTGGGTTTCAGGAATTCTGGTTTTCTTCCACAGTCCAAAGACCTGCTTGCCAGGTTACTTTATGACCCTACATTTCCTGTAGGTTTGAGTTTGTGCATAAAGGGTTGTTTATCTCAGCATATAAGCGCTGTAGATAGACCTGTGACCTGTCCAGGGTGTTCCCTCACCTAATGACAGCTGGAGTAAGCTCCAGCCCATACATGACGCAGAATGGTGGAATGGTGCCCCTCCACCAAGTGGTCTGGTTTGGTTCCGTGCAATTCCATACCCAGATAGCACACATACATCGTGCCGGCATCGGCCCGATACATCTAGTTTCATCACCAAGATGTAGCAAGGAGAGCGTTTGCTAAGTGCCACAATGTGTCGGCTTTGGACGATTAGTCAAAGTAGTAGCGCACGACCTTTATTCATAGGTCCAAGCTCAACTGTAAAAATACTATTCAATATGAATTAAAAATAGCCGACTTATTACTGAATGCTAATTGCTACCTTCTTTCGTGTGTGTATAATGAAGAGCCATAAGTCAAGTCAAAACACTTAATTGTGCAGACTCAGCACAGACGGGAGAAATGAACACTTGCAAAACGGTTCTTCCTCCAACAGCCTGCAAAAGAGAAAAAAAAGAAGACAACAAATAAAGCGGGGGTTAAGCACATGAATTTAGTCAAAATAAATCTCACTTCACTGCAGACCTTCAATAGTTTTAACTGTTTTGCTTGTTTTAATGACTAGAGTCGAAGAGATTAGTGCGGATCAGATCAGCTACCACCAAATCTCGTGCCGAACAACAGACTACTACTCTAAAAGCTAACGGAGCTAACAGCAGCACCAGGACAAGCAGTCCAGTGCTTTAGTGCTTACCTGGAGCTACCGGATCCGTTGGCGTCTGAGAGGAGACCTCCACTGATAATTGGCAAAGAAAACTTCTTACACCTGTACACTGGAAGCATCCGAAACTACAGTAACTGTGTAACAGGTAAAGAATGTAAACAATGCCATCAGGTGACTGATCAAACCAGAAGGCGAGGTTATCAAGCCGACGCAAAAACGACCTTGCTGAGATATTTGATGAGCTGGGCTGAATAGTTATTGATGAGCTACTGGGTTGATGCTTGTCAGGCGTTACAGACTGGAGGCTGACGTGCCGTTATGAGACCAACGTCGGCATGACATATGTGTGCTATCTGGGTTTGGTATCATGTTGGCATCATATATTAGCCTTGGCAGACCTGCTGTCTCATACTCTCTATCAGTTTCAGTCCTGTAAAAGATACCCATTGAGCATTTTTTGGTCTAAAAGAGGTCTAATAGACGTCTAAATGTAGTCTAGACGACTGGTCTAAAATCAGGCTACCACAGGTATAAAAATGAAAGTTTTCAGATGTCTAGATTTAGACCGAGTTTAGACTTGCCAGCTAACAAAGGTCTACCAGTATATTGCTCAACGGCTATCATAATTATTTTGGTTTAGTACTTGGAGATCAGTTATGCAACTCACAGTTGCTTTTTGAAACAAATACTTATCGAATAGCGGGTTTAAGTGCAACGTCTAAATTCCGTCTACAGATATACAGAATCTAGACGGTTGAAATAAGGTCTAAAAGATAACTAGACGTAAAAAAGCCGTCTATTGCTCAGTGGGTACTTTGGTATGAAGACGACAGGATTTTGAGGCCAAATCACGAATCTTTCCTTCAGAGCAGCCGTTATGACACCACAGGTAATACAGCTGCTTCTGTGTTTTGACTGCAGATACCATGATGCAGCTGTTGTTGTACTACAGAGGAGAAATCTGCAAATCCAGTATCATTTATAAACTCTTTAATTTGGTCACGTTATCATAATGACTATATGATTCAGATCAATGTGATATCAAGTGAGCAGCTTTTGCACAAGCTGTATTCTAGAACCCAAAACTTAACCGAGCAGACGGAGTTGCTGTAACTCCCTATGATGTCACCACTCATGACAATGGGAACCTATTGGTGGTGACAGCAGGATACTCCCTATTTCCTTTTTCCTGTCAGACAGGGCCGGGCAAAACAAAGGGGAGAATGAAGATAGAGTATTTCTCCGTCTGTATTTCCCCAAACCTCTTTGATAGATGATGCTTTTACAACCACCTATTAATGCTTTTCCCTTACAAGAGCTTACATCATTATGAGATTACAGCCATAAATCTTGGCTGCATGTAGATATACGCTTGAAATGTGTTGAACACTTGTCATGACTCCACCTATAGTTCTTAATATTCCATCCGTTGCCTGCCGCTTTCTTTCATACTTTTCTTCTTCTTGCTTTTACAGATCTAGCCACTTCTTCCTGCCCTGCAGTGACCCCTTCTCCCCCAGTTTCCAAAACTTAAACATCAAGCCAACCAATCTTCAGGGAAACCTAAGCTGAAGGTAATGAATCTCACAATCTGTCACTCTATATCTCAGTTAAAAGAAGTTGTCAAACAAGCTTTGGGCTTTCTTATCGTTAAGGATGTACCAATCCAAATTTTGAGACCGATACTGATAGCTGGGTTTTAGTATTGGCCGATACTGATTCTGAAACTATCCATAACAAGCACTGAACAAATAACCTCACGCAAAGCTGTTGACGACAGCAGCGGGAAAAACATTTAACATTAAAGAGGAGTTATTGTGCTTTTTATAGACTCTCTAATACCTCTTTAATATCTTAACCTTATTTTCAGATTAAAAATTTAAAAAAGTTGACCCACGGTGACGCAGCTTTTCATTGTTACTGCCTACGTCTGTGGAACAGCCGACCTAAAGACGGCACAGAGTCTCCGTGTGCAAACTCAGGACCCACATTTTTTAGTGTGTGTATCTGTGTGTCTGAATAAGCATTATGAAGGAGAGGCTGAGCATATGTGAGCACCAACCAGCGCTAACATGCTGAAGACTGCAGGGCTAAAAAGAGAGACACACTCAGAATCAGAATGAAATACAAGCCCAAGTCTTGAAGCTTTGAAGGATGTGGAACTGATATATGGTACATTTTAGTATCGAACATGTGTTTTTCTTTAAATACAATCCAGTTAGAGAGACAGACACGCTTTATGGAGCTGAGAAGGAAGCTAAACATTAGTTCGCATTGTGTCTGATGTGTGATCGTCATTCTCAATAGTGGTGATATCAATATCAATCAATATAATCCTGATTATGAGTTTTGCAGTTGTTTTTGAGGCCTGAATTGGCATCAAACTTAAAATGAGTAAATGTTTTTCACAAAATGAAACTTTCAGTTTCAATATTGTGTCTGTCATCTTTGCTCTTTTTTGAAATGAAGTTTAATGAGTTTGAACGATTTATAGAGCGTCAAAATCTGTTGTGGACTTAGGGTTGTATATTTATTCAAAGAGGGTTACCTTTTGGCCTCTTGGGCTGTGATTGGCTTACAGTTTGACAGGTGCAGTTGGGTTAAAGAAACAGTAAAGTTAACAGATCTAAAATAAACAGAAGTAAGAAAGCACTCGGAGAGCTCAGACCTCCGCCAAGCAGCTCATGTCCCCGCTTAAATAAGAAATGGGATTTGAACCCAGGACCTTTTGGTTGTGAGGTGACAGTGCTAACCACTACACCACTGTGCTGCCCATCTACACCACTGTGCCGCCCATTGGTTATCTTTCAGCATTGAAAATTCCAACGACACCCTTATTTTTGTGTGTTCTGGATCACAGTATCCAGAATTTTGTCCGGATCACCACCAAAATGTAATGGGATCCTCCTGGGGCTGAGACGCACCTCTGGTGAAAATTTCAGGTCAATCCGTCTGTTACTTTCTCTGTAAAGTTGCTAACAGACAAACAAACAAACCAACGCTACCGAAAACATAACCTCCTTGGCGGAGGTAACAAACAGACTTTCTGATGGCGAGGTAAAGCTCTGAAAAGTTTATATGTTGATGTGTCTTACACCAAATGTTAGTGTTTGGGACAGACTTGTCCATCCGCTGCTTTTTTTTATTAGTCTAGCATCTATTCCGATCAGCCCGGCTGGTTTCTCAACAAAGGGGCCGAGCTGACCGGAATTCCCTCTGACTAATACACTTACAATAAGAACTCCAGACAAACTCACTTAAAGATAAATGAACTAACGTTTACATTTTAAAAGCTGGAATTGATTGTTGAACCATTTCTTGTGGAAAAAAAATCCCCATGAGGTAGTATATCTCATCTATAAACACTTATCTTTTTCTGAATTAACCCCCTGGGTGTAAAGCAGCAACCCTTGAACTACAGAACAGCTCTTTCTCATTTGTTCAGGCCTAAGCCATCAGATGTCCCAGATGTGGTCGAAAATGAGGATAAGAATGTGTACTTAGTGTCTGAAAGAGAAAGAAGATGGATTTTGAGGTCTGGATTTTTTTTCTCAGTGAAGGTTGTTAGCCTCGTGTTTCACTCTGCAGACAACACAGACATGGATGTTGAGTGTGCTTCAGTCACAGAGTGAAAACAGGAACTGGGACGCCCCACTGACATGACACACTTGGCACTGTTTATGTTTTTTTTAAATCATAATTTACTGCGTGTGTGTGTTGGTATTTGTGCGTCCTCGGCTAAAACACTTTCACACTGAGTGAATCCTCTTACTGAAGAGCTCATAGAGATGCTTACCATTTACGAGCAAGTGTTTTTGTGTGTGTGTGTATGCATGTGTGTGCGACTTGGCTGGTTGTCCCTCTTTTTAACTAGCTTTATTAGCATATGAGAGGCTAATTGAAGCCATTTGAAGGCCACGCTGCCACTTCAGTGATGTTCCAAAGGGTTTTACAACCTCACAGCTGGTTCCTATTGTCTCAGAGAGCCAGTGGGGAGAAAAAAAGACCAATAGACAGAGACAGAAGAGGTGAGAGTAGAGAAAGGAAGAGTGAAAGCACTTAAAGCTCTAAAGTATCCTCCTTAACCTGCACCAGAACACGCTGACTCTCAACTGCACCAGAACAACACATACCAGGCTGCAGTCTGCTTCACGCTGGTCCTGTCCCGACGCTAAATTATGTGTGGAATTTCACACATATGTTGACCTGTGATGAACAACTGAGATTTTATTGTTTAAATCAAGCAAAAGCATCTGTGTGTTCTCAATATGCCTGTCCTGTTTAAGTTTTGGAAGTTTGAGGGATCAAACATGCTTGACACTTCTTGATTTCAGTTTAATGAAATCCTGCAACATGATATCAGTTCAGACAGGGTTAGGCTGACTTCTTTGGTCCTTTGTCTTTGCCTTTGTCAGGCATACCGCCCTGACTTTGTCTGGATTCTTCCTAAAATCATTCCAGCGAAGTGTCCACAAAATTCAACATTTTTCTCGTTAAAGACCCACTCCAAAGAAAATCGTGTTTTTGTCTACATGTTCATACAGCATTTTTCATGAGAAAAATAAGTGTGAAATTGCATTTCTAAGTATTTCTTCATTCAAATCACTGTGAATCTCTGGCAGACCCAAACAGCAGGTTCAGATACAGTGAGATTTCCTACGAAGCAAATCCAAGGTCCGCCCTCAGAGCCCCGCTATGTAGGCCACAGTCGGAAAAGTAAGGAAGGACAATCACGGAACAAGCGCGTGCGTTAGTGGATTGCAACTCTTGTAAGAAAGCTAATTATGATATTAGCTTTCATCATGTCCCCAAAGACATTAGTGTCCGAGAGCTGAACAGCTCCGATGTTACCTGCCACTTCTGCTACACCGGCAATAGCCACGTTTACATGCAGACTTTTTTCTCATTCGGATTATAATCATTCCGATTGAAGCTCCCGGGCGAACTGTTTACATGGAAGCGATCTATTCTGATCTGGTGTTTACATGTGCCACGGCATTCAATCGGAACAGCTATTTACAGACACGTGATACCTTCAAACATCACGTGATTGATTGATCACGTGATCTCCGACGCAGACCAGTGCATCGTGCTCTGCTTGGAAGCCGCCATCATGTTTCCATGTGAGTCATACGTCACTGCTTGTTTACATCAGGACAGAGCATGCGCAGACAGAACCCAGCCTGACAACTTTCCGATTCACCGTTTACATGACAGGATTTTGCTTTTAATCGGAATGGGAAAAGGAAAATTCTACCCCTGTGAATCGGAATGAAATTCCATTCGGAATGGGCCTGTTTATTCCGAATGAGGTGTTTATATGGAGCATTTTCATTCCGATTGGGCTTCTAATCCGATTATATTCGGAATATTTGGCTCCATGTAAACGTAGCTACTGTTAGGCTGCAAGCTACCCGGAAGAGAACTGTGCAGAGCAGCGCTGTCTCCGCCCACAACTCAGAGGAAAATTGCCAATGAGCTACTGGAGCTCTACAGAAGAAAAGTCCTTGAAAATGACACAGGTAATTTGATTTGGGCTAAAAACTTCATCATCACAACTTAAAGACAACTGAAAACACTTAAAGTAGTAAAAACAAAAAAAAGATCAGAGTGGGACTTTAAAAGTTGTCTATTCTTTATGAGTCTTTCCCTCTTGAGCCCTTTGTCCAACATTAATTAAATCCCTAAAAATTTGCTTTCCTCCACCCAGATGGGCTGCATGTTTGAATCCACTCAGGCACATTTTTCACTCTGACTTTATCTGGACTTTTCACAAAATTTATACAGAAAAATGTTGTCCTTCTAAAGCATCTTTCCCACGTGCAAAAAACTCCTGAAAATTCCTCTCCTCTACCTGGGTAAGCTGCATGTCTGAACATACATACACATTTCATTCCAACTTTAACTGGACTCTCTTTTAACTTGATTCTACTACAATGTCCTCAAAATCCTTATTTTGGTAAGTTGTTTTATCCTCTATCGTTCTTCATCTTAAGCCTCACTCTCATGTACAACAACAACCTCCTGACCAGAAGTAGGTGCATGTTTAAATGCACACACATTTTTCAGTGACTTTAAGTAGACATTGTCCTTGGTTTATCCTGGGAAAATGTCCACAAAAACAGTATTAAAGTAATAATGTTGTCTCTTTTCCTCCTCCTTGGGATCGTTCCCACACGCAAAACCCCTGAAAATGTCCTGCCTCCACCCAGGTGAGCTGTAAATCTGTGTGCAGACAGACTAAGTTTTTAATTCCCCCTTATCTGGATGTTGTCCTCATGTTGTCCAAGTAAATGTCCACAAAAAATTATTGGGTAAAAGTTTCTCTCTTCTGTTTATTTTTGTCCCGCTTCAGTCTTTTGTTTTACATGCACAAATCTTTTGAAGATTTCCCACTTCTGCTGAAAGAAGCTGTACGTCAGATTTTTGACACCTACTATCTTTACATCCGTACTATGTCTGCCACAGTTTGTCATTAGTGACAATAACTGTCTTTAAAAAAATAAACCACCATCGCATGTCTCCGAATCTCTGTGTATGTGGTGTCAGTAACGTACTCATGTTACTGAGGGTTTTTTGTCACTGCGCTCATATTAATAAGAGCAGTCTCTCTTTTTTTTACCTCCTCCTCTCCCTCCCTCTTGTGTGTACTTTCCCCATCTGTAAATGCAATTTCATTGTGCACAGTTGCAATGACAGTATAGACCATACCATACCAATACCTTGAGCTGATAATGGAGGTCTTTTGTTTTGGTTGCTGCAGAAAATCTCTTGCTGCAAGGCGCATGTGTGAGCATTAAGTTCCTGAAAATATCACGTCCAAAATTATCAAGAAAATTTCAAGTGTCCAGGTGTAAAAGGACCCCCCCCCCTACACACACACACACACACACACACACACACACTCGCCATCCCATTTTGTTGCTGTCCTGTTGTCACCAAATTAAAGCCCCTGGTTGTTTGAGGACAAACGTGTCACAGATTGTGACAACAAATAAGCCCTAAACCTGAACACACGGTCATCCGCAGTGATGTGATTTTGTGTGCCACTCAGACACTTAAACGTAGTTCACCTGAGGACAGGGAGTCATTAAGGATCTCATGTGTCAATAGAGAATCCTGTATTACTCTTTCACTGACATTCAGGTCCATCTGACACTGCGAGGTATTTCCCTGTTTGCCTCTTCCTGAATTCCAGTACAACATTTACAAGTTGCCACGTTGCCTTGTTCTCACTTACGTACATGGTCCAAGCTGTCGAGGAATTTAAGGAATTTCAGAAACATTTCCTTTTACTAACTTTTTCAAATCTTGCCTCGTCTATTTCTTGTTCAGTAGAATTCAAAAGTAGCTCCTCTGAAATAAACCCGACTTCAACACAAATCTGGTGATGTCGAATTTCCGTCTTGTTTGGTGGTGTTTGTTCTTAAAGCTCACTTGATGTTGTGAGATCACAGGTTTGGTTCTCAGTAACTGACACCCTGCAGGAGAAAATCCTGCACAAACACACAGACATGGAAATCCCTCTTAGGTCACCCGCTTTCCATCTCACACATCACTTCCTTTTGGAGAGACAAGCCTGGCAGGTGTTCATGACACATACATACACACACACGCAAACACACACACACAGATACAGACACTCAAACTCACAATATTATCAATCTAAAGATTAATATCCTGGGCAACCTCATTAAAATGTCAATGCAGAACTCTGAGGAGGTACTCCCTCCCATCACAGATAACAGCAGTGTGTGTGTGTGTGAGTGTTTGTGTGTAATGGACGTGTGTGACAGGCTTACACTTTCCAAAAACTCTCCGAGCTCTGGACAGATGCAGACTGAATGATTTCCACCCTGATAGTGTTGACTGTTTTACAGTACGCACTAAACTGTAATAGTTTCCCACAGGGCTGTGTGTGTGTGTGTGTGTGTGTGTGTGTGTGTGTGTGCGCGCGTGTTTGTGTGTGTTATCATTGTAATGGGTGGCTCTGGGTGTTGCCTCTGGGCCCCTGTGAGGCTATTTATACAGCCTCTCTG